GTACAACAACCAATTTCCTTGCTTGGTCTCTCAGACCTACAACACAGTGAAGAATTCTATAAGTGGAAAGAGTTGTCCAAGAAAGGTTGAGATTTGAAATTTATATGCACTGTAGAGCAAGCAACTTGTAGAACAGGCACTGGGATTTAAAAGAGTGGTAAGTCTGGTTGACAGTCTTAAGTGTTGTATGTACATACTTATGCTCCTTCTTCTCTTAAGAGAGCCAAGAATTTTCTCACACGGTATTCAGGATCCATCTGTAGAGACATCTCAATCAACATTAGCAGCTTCTTGATTCCTATCAAGACCTTCTTATCTTTTACTTGCTGTGCAATTATGGTACGTTCTTTATCATTGAAGTTGCCCAAAAGCTCCAAAGCTTCCAACAGCTGCTCTCCTGTGGCAATGTTGGGCACGTGGATGGTGGTGCTGAAAGCGGTAAGCAGTTCCATCTGCTGAAGGACATCTTTGTGGCTAGTGGTCCCAATAATAAGAAGCTTGCGGCCCTGAGGAGGATCCTTTTTCAGTAACACAAGAAGAGCCTGTAATACCAGATTAGAAAATCGAGGGCCAACAGGGACATAATCAAGCAGTCTCTCAATATCATCCACAACTACACAACTGAGCTGGGAGTTGTATGCATCATTGAAGATCTTCTTCATGGCCTGACACTTGGCTGTCTCAGAAAAGCCAATCATCTTATCAGGAGAACAGATCTTGATGAAGGAGAAGTTGGATTCCTCTGCAATCTTTGCAGCTAACGCAGTCTTCCCACTGTGAGGAGGGCCTGCATAAAGATATGAGCAAGTCAGGGGAAAAAAGCCAACCTAAGCAAAGGGAAATAAAACAAGTTTAAACTTTTATCCACAAGGTACTGAGGTCTCAACTAGTTGCTCATTAACATATCCTGACACAATTTCATGGCAGACATGTTTTCTCTTATTTATTAGCAACTAAACTTAATGAACTGATTAGCATTTCTCAAAAGTATGATGAAATACGTTCCTTCTCTCTTTCTCACATAGTCTTAATCTTTCAAACTTCTGCCTAAATATATAAAACACAAGGGTTTTGCTTCTTAAAAAAGGAGTGCATTCAAATACATATTCTGTTGCCAGTTCTTTAATATCTATGTCTGCAGAGAGTAACCGATGCCCTCTCATCCTTGCTGTGTGGATGTGAAGGATTTGTAGTCGACCTTTTTCATCTGGTAAGCCTATTTCCATTTTAACTTCCAGTCTTCCAGGTCGAAGGAGAGCTTCATCTATCAGATCTGGTCTGTTGGTCATTCCAATGACTAAGATGTTGTTCAGCTGTTCTACCCCGTCAATTTTGGACAGCAATTGGTTGACGACAGTGTCATGGACTCCTGTGCTACCAGCCATGCTCCCTCTCTGCTTGCAGATGGCATCAATTTCATCAAAGATGATGATGTGCAAACCACTGTTAGCACCAAGCCTCCTTTGCTCCTCTTCAGCATCAGCAAAGAGTTTACGAATGTTAGCTTCTGATTCTCTCACATCTTTGCCAAGAATTTCTGGCCCATTGACCACTTTGGGTTCTCTTGCATTCAACATCTTGCCAATCTGTCGAGCCAAGAGAGTCTTACCACAACCTGTGGGCCCATATAACAGGATGCCTTTAACATGTTTGCAACCCATCTGTTCCACAATCTCTGCAGGAAACATTCGGGAAGAAAACATTCGTTGAAAAATATCTGAAAATTCTTTGTCCAGACCTTCTATACCCATTTTTTCAAAGTTCCAGTCAGGATTGATGATAGACTGGCGATTTTCCTTGGTTTTAGCTTCGCCAATAAGATTAAGTGATGAATTTTCTGCTTTTTCAAATGCAACTTGACTATTTCCAGGAACCAGTCCTAGTTCAATCTTTTGTCTTTTATCTGCCCCCTGCTCTCCCTTCAGGATGCTGGGATCCATGGCTTCAATATCCTTTACTACTAAGCTAAAAAGCTTTCCATTGAAGCTAAATACAAGCTGTTGTCCCACTGAGAATGCCTGGTTGTTGAACTGTTGAATAAATTCTCCTGCCATCTTGTCGGTATCATAAGGATTGGAGTCGATGCTTTTTTTCTGCAGGAAATCAATCTCGATGGTCATTGTGCCAACACATTGTTTGGTCTTGTCAAACGTATATAAGGACACTTCTGTTTCTTGCCCAATATAAAGTCCAGCCCATTTTCGCTGAGTTAAGCTGAATGCAATGCTCCCTGGAACCACTGATGGATGGGTCCTCAGTGTAAATGTGTACCTGTGGCTGGGAGAGGTCCTCACAATCACATGCTGGCCAGACTGGAAATCGTTTTCATTCACAACTGCACAGTTGGTTAAAGATAATTCATCTGTAGGACATCTCGCAGCTTGCATACTCCGACCCGCCACCTTCGCGGACACGACCACTGGTCGCTTTTGATAGGTTTTGTAATATATCTTGTAACCCTCTCAGCCATGAAAATTTTTGAGCCATGCATATCATAGTGTTGTCACCAGACGGTAACAATTTTAAATTACTACATTCTAGAATTATTAGACATTAGTTGCTGAAAAAATAATTGTTTCCCCCTGTGATAATGGTTTAATGTTGCCTATATACCATTCATGAAAGAAGCAAGAGTGCCTTTTGATAAAGAATTTTCTAGAAGTATTTGTTTAGCATATTAACTGAAATACTTATAGCCTCTAGCTTTTATTGATCTTGAGATTAAATTAGTATGCTTGGTAGATGTCTCTAGAATTTTTTCCCAAGATTTCTAGTGTTGGTAGAAATGGTGAAATAAAAATATGTAATAAAAAGTGGACTCTGGAAACAGACAGACCTATCTGGGCTTGAGTTCTCCTCCCCAAGGTTCATCTTTGTGTGGCTTTGAGACAGTCGCTTAACTAAAAAAAATTAAGAAATTTCTTGTGCATAAACTGAAGATAATAGAGGTTGTAAGGATGAATGATAATGAATGTAAAGTACCTGGTGTTGGGAACTCAACAAAAATACAAAGCAATGTGTTGATGTATTAATTCATGTAAGATGATGTGAATTTTAGTACAATTGTGCTTTACATTAATGCCAACAATAACTTAACAGTTGAGTTTTATATGAAAATTTCTTATACTTTTTATAGAAGTATATGATTTTATTTTTTTAGAAGGTTGGGAGATATGTTATTGAATTCTGTGATTTCACGGGTCTTCTGTATCTTTTAATGCATAGTGTGACAATCTAACAGATAAAAATTGCTAAAAAATATAAAATGCTTAATTATAAAATGTGTATATAATATTAATATATTGCAGCAATAGATCTTATATAGTTATTATATAATAGCTATAACTTAAATGCCATTTTACTTACATTTTAAGGACAACATATGTTATTCCCTTTTATGTTATATTAATTAAAATTGATCTCTATGGCACCCTAATATAAATAAAAATTATATACTTTATTATAAAACTCAATAGGCCAGAAGGTTTGCCACTGTGCCAGTTACATTGGGGCAGTTGATTTTCATTTGGATTCTAATAGCTTGACATTGCTAAAGCAGCCAAAAGAAACGGCTAATGTAGTTTAAGACTGATTCAAGTTCTGATCTTCCTGAACCTAAACTTCACCATTGAAATAAGGAACAGAAAAAATGTAGATGATTATTTTTAATTGTAGACGTCTCTCCTTTCCCTCCTCTTTCAGGATTTTGCTTACCATTTTACAGTGTTCGTCTTCTACTTCGGAGCCTTTTTACTGGAAGCAGCGGCCACCTCCCTACACGATCTGCACTGCAATACAACCATGGCCGTGCAGCCGCTCCTGAGTAATAACCAGTATAACATAAACGTAGCAGCTACAGTAAGTGTTCGATGGCTATACCTTACCCGCACTTCCCTTCCACTATCAAGGTCTCCAAGTAACTCCTCAGGCAACAATAGTATTTTTAATAATATCTGTTAGCATTAAACATATAATAGCCGTTTATCTGTACAATAACCTTATGAGCAAAGTACTGTTATTACCCCGGTGTTGTGGATGATGAAACTGAAGTACAAAGAGGTTGACATTCATGTAAGATTAGAGCAGTCAGTGGCAGTGGTTGGCTTTACACAACAAAGTCTACTTTGTAGAAAGAATTATTGTGCCTTTTACTTCTTGTAACTTCAGACCTGGTAAGGGAGATTTGTTCTTCAGTGTGCAATACCTATTTGTAATTCATTTGAATTCACTGAGAGCCTACCACAAGGCAGGTGATTTGCTGGCAGGTGAAGGGACAGGGATGCATTAGGCACAGTTCCTGCCAGTGAGGGAATTCCAGGTGAGTGGGGAGGTAAACATGCCAGCCATCACATAGATGGTATAGAGGTGAAATGCCATCTGTGGGGAAATTTTTTGAATTGTTTTATCGTTCTTAATTCATGTACTTAAATGAGTTTATCATTTTGTATCGACATTGACATTTTAAGGTGACAGGCATCTAAATTATTCCCTGAAATCTCTTGATAATTAATGACTATATAGCAAGTGGTTGATTATAAACAGTCCAAATTCCCCATATAGTTTGGAGCTATGCTGTCCAATAAAACTTTCTAAAATGATAGAAATGTTCTATATATGCACTATCTAATATGATTGCTAGTCATTAATTTAATAATTATATTTAAAAAATAATAAAACACACCAAAGAGGTTGTACTTGGTGACAGATACACAATTTACGTTTAAATAGCCATGTGCAGCTAGGAGCTATTGGACAGCACAGGTCTAGAGTTAGGGTTTCAAAGGGTAGAGGACTGATGATTCCAAGACGTACTGTCCCAAGTTTCTGTTAGGATCGCCAGAGTTTGTTCATGGTCTACAATGAACTAGACCCCTGGTCGGCAAACCGCGGCTCGTGAGCCACATGCGGCTCTTTAGCCCCTTGAGTGTGGCTCTTCCACAAAATACCACATGTGGGCGTGCACGTACAGTGCGAT